AATAATTATATATTTTTTGTGTTATTTAATAATGTTGGAAGATGTGAAAAGAATGATGAATTTGAAAAAGACGCCTCTAGAATTTAAGTTACAAATTAATGAAGTAACAAATGAATTTAACGTATGTGCTTCAGTTGGTAGATGTATTAATTAATTTAAATGGACGATATTGGTTTTCGACTAGTGTGCTTTAGTCCGTCGACTTTACTATTTTATTTTTGCCCTCCTTACCATAAACAACGTATTTGCAATTTTCTAACTTTTGAGATATTGGCACCTGATTGTTTTTTTTTTCTTTGAAAAATGTCAATAAACACTGATTTTGCTTAACTAAACTTTTATATCTTTTTTTGTTATAATAATAATATAAAGATATAAAAATACCGTTCATGGTGGTTGTAGATCACGTTTTGGTGACTCAAGACATGTTAATAACTCTATTTCGCTAAAATGTCGAATACGTTGTGTATGGTAATAATATAATAATGAATAAAATAATGACTGCAGTATTATTCATATGATCACGTAAACGTCCAGTGTATTGAAATGAAAATATCGCTTTCAAATTTAGCGCTATGTATTATATTATATATAAGCAAATGGTATATAGAAAAACATGTTTTTCAGACAAAACTGAGGACATACCTGCTGCATGAATAACGTGACTAAACGTCTTTCTGCTTCGTTCGTTTTAGGCTTCGTGTCGCGCTGTTAAAAATACTTAAAAGAGTAGCACTTTCACACAACAGAATACACTTAACAAGAAATATTAAAAAATGGCGTGAAACACGAAAAATATTAGCATCAGACTACACAAGAATAGTTCTTTTTTGAAATTTTTGATTCTTTTAAAACAATTTTACTTCTTTTAATTTTTTTTAACATTATTCATTTCCCTAACTGTCATAAACATTTTTTAAATAATGAATTTACAGGGGTCCTGCTCTGAGGGAAAAACTAATCGTCACGTTATGCATGAAGCAACTAATTATATTTAGTACATTTCAATGTACAGTCAACTGCACATCAAGCTATATACATTGTTGTTCGAATTTCGCCTCCAGTGCGACAGAACAAGATCCGTCAATGTGTACCTAGAATCTATCAGCGCTAAAACAGACTATAATTATACTCCTAGCGTAATAAACACATATTGTTCATTATGAAAGACCAGCAAGGAGGAACTTTCAGTTCTGCAGTATTAGTACATGAGTCAATGTAGGGTATCGCCCTCTGCACCCACTTAACGCGGAATGTCCCACTTTATTTGGTGAGTGCGTAAAACACCTTTGGATATTTACAACATTTATGATTTAAAAAAAAAATTAAGCTGTCATTAAAGGCGCAGATGTAACGTCCTTTGCACATGGATCACGTTGGAGCAATTCTAAATAATAATGATCTTCTTCTAAAAGTAGAATGTTACGCGAACGTCATTTAGTAAAGTCATTTGGTAAATGGCTTTGTCAGTGGAAAAGTCAATACAACAAAATTGACACACTGCATAACATGACTAATAATTTGTAAAAGTTATCGAGTTCTTAGGTTTTCGCGATTGTTACACTTAGGAAATGAAACTATTTTTCCGGATTTAAATCGCGTATATTTATTTTTTCAGTAACCGTGCCAAGAGGCTTATAGGTGACTCGGAATTAGTGGAAGCGAAGCTGCAGAGCCTTGAACACCGCCGTAAAGTTGCCTGCTTATCGGTATTTTACAGGATATATCACGGAAAGTGTGCGATGGTATTACACGATTTAATTCCGCCTTCCCCTTTCCATCACCGGGGGACTAGGCGTAGGCTTGGGTTCCACCCCTATGTTGTGGATATTCCAAAGATTCGCACGAAGCATTACGCTTCCACATTTATATGGCGAACGGCTATGGAGTGGAATTCCCGGCCTGCAGACTTGTTCCCTGAACGTTATAACTCGGACCTTTTCAAGGCATTATCTAGGTGTGCATGCTCCAACGTCGACCTCATCGTCACTTTCCATGTGTCGCGGACTACGGCAATACAAGACATTAAAGTACCAGGGACACAACACTACATCGGTTACTGCAAATAGTATGAATTAATCGGCACTAACATGTAGTTAGGTTCACAAAAACAGCTCAACCACTAATTGGTCTCCCAATCTGACAAGTAAAAAAGCGATCAAATAATATATACCATTAGTGTCCGATACTTTTCTATTAGAACCACTCGCTTTGAGCCTAACTCTTCAATTTACCATTGTAGACATGAGGGGTGTATTCAGTCGTTCGATTGCAACTCGAAAAGATCAAACGAGAATTCGAGTACCTGTGACTTTTTGTAATATGATTTATTTGTGTCTCTAAAGGTATTTTGCGTTTGGGGAAAGTTATTATTTTGCTGAATATTTGCTAGGGAGGCGGTATTTTTTAATCTTTTACTGTCCATGCAGGTATGTAATGACGATGTTATACAATATATTTTAAAAATCACTGATTTTTTTCCCCTTCAAAAATAAACTTTTTCCACCAACTATGTTCAGTAGACTTTGATAATTTGGTTCTTTCTTATTGCTAGCGGAATAGAGTTGAATTTAACTCTGTATGTTCCATTTTCTAAAAACTAAGCTTCGGAACTCATCGAATTTTACACAAGGCAGCGAACGCATTTTTAATTTATTTCATTCTGATTTACTATTTGACATTATAATTTTCTCGCTCATCTATAACACTGTGTTATTAAAAGTCTACCCTACCTTTTTCGATATAAGGTGAATATTCAATCGCTCCACGGTGAATATTTCAATTTATCGGTAACGACACACTATGCGCGCTTTCGGAAAGAGTATAGTGTGTTGCTATCAATGCCTTTAATATATGTTTTTAGGGATAATTGTCACCATCGAACGCGAATTCTTCACAATTTTGTATAGTAAATTATTCAGCGCCTCTAGCGGTCACAAAATGAAGTGATATTTAATGTACCTATAAACATTCGAGCAAATAAATATCTATGTAGTAAATGCTTATGGAAATGGAATCACATTAATACGATCAGAAAAAGCTTTATGCCCATGTAGTAAGAGTGAAAAAGACGTTGTGTGTTCCGAATCGTCGAACCATGAGTTTTTTCACTTTTATTGCATCGATATAAAGCCGCGTGGATAAATGTGGTGACTGCCATAGTCACCGCGATAAAAAAACTGTAATAGCTCAGAAGGTTGGGTTTTAGTACTTACTATTATTATTGATACAAAGAACGAACAAACACAAAGAAAAATTCCTTTGATCCGGATGGATTCGACGCACCTCCTGTTTGCCAGAGAGCTTGATGACATACCTACTAATAAAAATATTATATATCTTTATAATATACTAATAAAGATATTCAATAAAATAAATATTACTAAGAGTCTCCCCACATTAGCGTCTTGCGATCGTCAACGTCTTGCCGACGCAAGCACAGCGTCGACTCAACGTCCGCGCGGTGGTTACGCAACGTAGTCGTTCACACGGTATTGTACTGCACGTTTTTTTGCATTATAAATCCGAACCGAATAAACAGTGGCGCATACGTTAGATATAAAACTGTTCACACGGTGTTTGTTCTACAAAAAAAACGCACACACATACAAACGCACATCGAATACTGCAAAAAAACGTGCAGTGCAATGCAGTGTGAACGGGGGGCAAGAGCGATGCCACACGATGCGTTGCGTCGGCACTGCGACGCCTGAACGATGACGCTGCGTCTTACGGCACATACATTCGAACTACATGTTACACAGGCGCTGCACGGGCGCAGTGCTGCGACGTCGCAACGTGTGCGCATTGACAAGTGGCCAGGAGATGAAGCGGGGAGAGGAGATGCTGTGTGAAAGTAAATGGCATTACGTTGCGACACCGCACCGCTCGTGTGGCACTTGGTGCGTTGAAATCATAGCGTTGCGAAGACGCGACGCCCGTATGGCATCGCTCTTATACTAATTTGTGGACGCAACGCCGGCACTGAGTGACTGCTGAATAATGCCGAACGTCGGGTATATAAGTCGGGTAATGCCGCGTTGGCGTTGCGTCGCGGTTGCGCGGACGTCGTGTTAAGACGCTAGTGTAGGGGTTTCTTACTATACCAAATTTTATGTCAATTAGAACCTATGGTAAGTCATTTTTTGCCATTGCTGTAGAATCATTTAGAAGAATTACCATTCTGTTTAGTCTTTGAATTGAGTGTATAAATTCCGAATTCATACATCGCGTCGCATCAAGTGTCGCGCTTAAGTAGTTCACAGTTCATCGCTGTTCAACTTACTTTTACTTATCTTCATCAAGTTATTTAAGTAGCAGTACTTATAGTTACTTATAGCAATGTATATTCCTCACGCATGAACTAATCATGCCGACACAACATCTCAAGGAAAAAATAAAACAAATAAAGCCGGCTGGACTACCGTTCGGTTGCCATCTCTATGGGTGGTACCGTCTCAAAATATCAAAGATCTAACTTCATTAAAGATCCACATCGATCATTATCGCAGCACGCAACTATTTGTACTATGCAACAATAGATGGCGCTTTCAAACACACGATTCAGCAACATCATCTACCAATTAGTATACATCCATCTCTTACCTGCCTATGAAGAAGTCTGAAGCGAAAAAGAGACGGGTTTACAAGTTGTACAGTTGAAAAGGAGCGTAATGACGACTCTTGATTGTAATTGATGAAGCGTTTGTCTATGCCGCCCTATTGGGGTCAATAAAAATTTCTTTTAATCGTGAATTTCTTTCTTTGCAGGTCACGATATGCTGTATTTACAAAACGTATAAGCACAAACCTTGAGTCAGTTAATTTTAAATTTGACCCTGCTTACAAAGTTGGTTAAAAATTTGTAAGTACGGCATTAAGGGGAGGTTTTCGGAGGGTGTGAGGAAGTGTGCGGTGTGGCTCTTCACGGGGGGTGGGGGCGGCCGGCTCCGGCGCCCGCGCACGCCGCCACCACGCTGGTGGGGGGGTTAGTAGCGCCGCCGCGGGAACCCACCACGGCGGCAGAGGCATTCTGGAAGATGCCTCACAAAGGTATGTTACGAATTTTAAAATATCCGTCAATTCGCAGGTGAAGGTACTTCATGGAAAAATAAGGTTCATTATTTCAAAAAATTGTTTTGTAATAGAATTTATCATAAAGCGCAAATAACAATTTATCAACTTTTATTGACATTTCATTATTAATTATACATTTCAGGAATCCAATCTTAGTTATTTTGAAATTCATATATGTGTGGCCAGTTAATCATCGAAATAAAAATGTGTTCTACAGTGCATTGCGTAATATTTATTTTCGATTTGCGTCATACTTCATTTATTTTTCATTGCATTTTATTATTAATATACTTATTATTTATATGAATCATACACTTACCACTAAACGAAAAAAAACGTTATTTTTTAAAAGTGTTCTTTTCTTACACTAGCCGAGTTCTTTTTTATGGCAACCAACACACTTACTGAGTCAAATACAAAATGTAAGTCCAAAATGCAATGCGATGTACGATTTCATACACACGGAACTCTATATTCTTATGAGAATTAAGTCTCTTACTTACTTACTTCTGACAAAATACTTTTTGCTTTTTAATAATTTCTATACATATTATTATTATATTAATTGCAGTCAGAATTTTCTATAAGGTACCTTAACTTGAGGATCAAAATATTTATTAAGTATATTCTGAATTGGCCTTTAACTCAGTTGAATTCGCAACTAGTTAAAATAGTAGAATTATTCTATTTCCATTAATATATACTAAAAGGGATGATAGTCGAATTGGCAGATCGTAGCAAAGCTGTAGTTTCAAATAGAGTACCTACTGCATATTGTATGACATCCACTGGAAAATATTGTCTAAACTCGTATTCTATTAATTGTAATAGAATACGATAGAATTCATAAAAACATATTTAATGAAAATAAAATATTGATTTTATTTTCATTACACATGTTTTTACGACCATGATACTATTTTTTTTTGAAAATAGTCCATTATTTTTTTATTATTATTGTTATATATACAACATCAAACAAACATAAATAAAAATGCTTTCGATCCGATTGGAAGCGAACCGGCTTCTAGCAAGTTAAAGTCTAAAGCCAAAAATCATCTATTCCATTATGGTTCCATTGGTAAAATAAATTTACACTTCATTACGTCACTAGCGGTTACTCTTTTCAAATAAACTTAATGCTATTCTATACTTTAAATCAAATTTGTGTGGAATTTAGAGCCATATCGGTTTTCCATACATCTATATCTAACATTAAGTCTTCAATTCCCTTTTAATTTATAATCTCAGTACCTACAGAGTACTAAAAAACCGACCTCAAAAGTACGTGGAATTACATACATTTGTCAAGTTTTACTGAAATATCCCCTACTTCGCCATTATACGGGACTTGATACAGGAGATAATAAAAATCGGTTCTCACTACTCAAAGCATATTGAGAGAGAAAAACGCCTTGAATTGGAGAATAACAAAATCAACCATTAAAATAATTACTCCCTATGATAGAATCTAGGCGCTGTTTATAGAAATGAATCTGCATGCGTGAACAGCCACCCTTAGAGGTGGATGATTTTCTTCAAAATTAAATGGGACCACTATGGAGGTACCCTCTTTCCAACAAAAAAGAATCATGAAAATCGGTTCACAAATATATTATAGAGTTAAAGCGTAACATATATACAAAAAAAACAGTCAAATTGAGAACCTCCTCCTTTTTTTTGAAGTCGTTTAAAAATACTTTTAATTTAAGTTTTAAACTTAGGAAATTATAATAATCTTAATAATATGTTTCGGAATCTTAATGTAAAAACGTATATAATTCCCCATAAAACATAGTATAACATGAATTTGGACTTAATTCTATGGTTAATATTATTGTTTTTTCCATTTTTTTATGAATTCCTCAACACTACCGCTATGTCCCGTTGAGGCGACAGACTGTTGTTCGAATCCAGTCGGATCATGGGAATTTTTCTTTGCGTTGTTGTTGGCTTCTAGTTCGCTATATGAAAATAGTCATAATACAACGTAAAAAAATCTCCGTGAAAAAACTACAGCAAAGTGTAAACTTTGCATATTACTCTATCAAACTAATAAGCACGGTAGTATAGTGTTGGTAAAGGCCAAGTTTCCAGAAGTCACTGGCTACAGCGGCCGCACGCCGACTTGTAGCCGCTTTATGAAAGGCCGCTGCCCATACTACCGGGTTACGAAACTGGATTATTTATTTTAGATCGCGTTATACAAGCTGCCGTGTTAAGTTTTATTTTTAGTTATCACATCATAAAAGAGCGTGGTTTGTTAATTTGTTTCAATTTATTATCATTTTCATATTTTTAATGCTATATAAAAATGTAACAAAAAGTTCCGTAGTAAAAATTTAAATCCATCTGAAAAGTATCAGAAAGTTGCAAATTTTTTAAATGATAGTATGGTAGTAAGTAGGTAATATGGTAGAGAGGATCTGCCGAGTTTTCACGGTAGTGTCTGACAAAGCCAAATCTCAAGGCTTGTTAGTTAGGAAGCTAGGAAAACTCGTGAAGTTTCCCGTTTGTAAACTTTGCCACTTGTGTCATTCGTGTTGTAAGCAAATTGCCTTGTTAGCTGATCTTATTAATGCGAAGATTTTGCACAAAAACGATATAGTTACAATGTAAGCGATGCAAAATTTGTGCAAGAAGTTTTGAGTTAGTTATTACAGAACTCGCATTATTAGTAAGTTCGAGATTGAATAAGTTTCGCAGTCAATTTGAAAACTTGACAAACGGCAAGTAATTTTCATATCTTTAGATAAACATTTTATTTAAATAATTATAATCCTAAATAAATTGGAATTTTAATAGGTTTGTATTACTCTGTTCTTTTGATTTTGATTAAAAAAACACTACACGATCAGCTATTCCTATAGTTCACTTAGGAAATGCAGCTATTAATAATAGTAAGTACGTGTTGTTGTAAATTCCAATTATTATCACCTTATTTTCTTGTGGGTGTCGTAAAAAAATATTATTTAATAAATTTAGAAGATAAATGGAAATGTATCACTGTTTACTAAATTATAGCTTTTCTACGATTGTCAACCTATATACCCACCGTGACGATTATTGAAAATGTTGAAAATGCTTCTTTTAGGGAGATTAATTTATTTAGTTGTCGGTTGTAAATCATCACAACTACAAGGTACAATAATAAGCAACTATTCCACTAAATTCAATTAAACATTCAAGATTTTGCTTCAAAATACAGTTGAGCAACTTAACGCTAGTTCGACGACTTCAAGTTGCTAACTTAGCAAGTTGTTAACTTGACCAGGGAAACTGAACTTGGCGCTTTCATAGAAAACTATTTTAGCATGACGTTACTTGAAAGTTTGAACTTGGCTGTGGAATGAAAAATAAAAGTTTTAGTATTCATTTATAATATGAACCAGAAATGTAGTGTTGCTCCACTCCATAGTATCGGGTCCTTGTTTATCGGATTGTAGCATTTTGGGAAGATGTTAATTATGATCACCACCGGAGCTCCAAATAATGATAGGTTATAATGTAAAATAATTCATAAAGGTGACTATGAACTTAGATATCGTAAATAGTTTCATAGTCTATTAAATTAATTTATAAAACAAACCTCACCCCAACTTGGCTCTATATACAGAACATACAACAGAAAATATAATTACAGTTCACAGCCAAGTAAACGGAGCATGCGACAATGGTGTCACATTAGCGCCAGATAGAGACAAATAGACCGGAAAAACAGCTGTGAGACAGAGATGAACGTATCTCGCCGAGTCACCACGTTTTGCGAATTTTAATGATTAAGTACTCGACTGTTTTCTTGATTCGCACGTTCTGAGCATTCGGTGAAGATTTGAATTGTGAACGTGGAATGCGAATGTTTTTTGGTAACTTATTGTACTTATTTATTTTACGTGTTTTTATTTCATTTATTGATATTTAGCCGGACTCCACACCTGCCGTAAATTTCGCTGCGTAATTTCGGCGCTGTAAACTCTTCTAACCAAGATCGTTACTTCATTATAGAGTTTTAATCTCTATGACAAAATGGTCATATCTGAATTGATGAAATTGAAAACGCTGAAATTACGCAGCCCAATTTCGGCAAGTGTGGTTACTACACTTAAACACAAGAATTTGTTATCCTTTCCTTAGAGGAGACCCGTGGTCAGCAGTGGGACGTCTACATTGATACAGTAAAGTACAGTAAGTATATTCCACGAAAATAGTAAAAGGTATCATTAGAAATGGTTTAAATAATCCTAATAACATTAAAAATAGACCCTATTCCCCCCAAAAACGCGTCACTGAACGTAATCAACATATGAACCTTTCTTTCTACCCAGATACGTTCATACATTAATTGTATCTATAGCTCTTTCTGAAGACTGTACTATACCTACCTAGGATTGTCTATACTAGATGCCTTCTCAAGGCTACACGTCTCTCCAACCTAAAATCTCACTTGAAATAATCATTAATGTGTCCTTTCAAATATGAACCAAATGTACCTACAACATGACCATTACAATAATTCTAATTACAGCTAAGATGTTATCGGCCGTTTGATTCGTAAATATTCTGGCTTCTCAGAAGCCGGAGCCGAATAAAGAGAACAAAAAAAAACAATGAAGTCCGGACGCATGCGCTGAACCTTTATGGAACCTTTTTAGCGACCACGTGACAGACGGCGGTTAAATTATTTGATAAAGGCTTGATTCAAAAAGTACACCTAAAAAAGAACTCTCGTTGATAACTAAATGTCATATTCGTATTTTGAAAAGATAAGATTGTCGTACGGGCAAGTTGCATTGCATAATACCACATTTAATTGAGTGTTAATGGTGACTGATATACGACAATTAATTGGTAGATTAAAATCGGTTTAATACTTAGTTTAAAAGTCACAAAAAATATCATCAATTGTCTTAATTGCTCATCATTGTTAAGCAACATTACTTTTGAAATTCTTATAAAGAAGTCACAAAAAATCTTCT